CCACCTCCCTATAGGCTGTCTCATCATTGTCGGTGATCAGGCCTACCACTGTTGTGTCATCAGCAAACTTAATGATGGTGTTGGAGTCGTGCTTGGCCACACACTCGTGGGTGAACAGGGAGTAGCTGAGGGGACTAAGTATGCACCCCTGAGGGGCCCCGGTGTTGAGGATCAGCATGGCAGGTGTGTTGTTGCCTACCCTTACCACCTGGGGACGGCCCTTCAGGAAGTACAGGATCCAGTTACAGAGGGAGGTGTTTAGTCCCAGGGTCCTTAGCTTAGTGATGAGCTTCGTGGGCACTATGGTGTTGAACGCTGAGCTGTAGTCAATGAACAGCATTCTCACATAGGTGTACCTTTTGTCCAGGTGGGAAAGGGCAGTGTGAAGTGCGATTGAGTCATCTGTGGATCTGTTGCGGCGGTATGCGAATTGGAGTGGGTCTAAGGTTTCCGGGATGATGGTGTTGATATGAGCCATGACCAGCCTTTCAAAGCACTTCATGGCTACCGACATGAGTGCTACGGGGCGGTAGTCATTTAGGCAGGTTACCTTCGCATTCTTGGGCACAGGGACTATGGTGGTCTGCTTGAAACATGTGGGTATTACAGACTCAGACAAGGAGAGTTTGAAAATGTCAGTGAAGACACTTGCCAGTTGGTCTACGCATGCTCTGAGTACACACCCTGGTAATCCGTCTGGCCCCGCGGCCTTGTGAATGTTGACCTGTTTAAAGGTCTTGCTCACATCGGCTACGGTGTGATCACACATTCGTCCGGAACAGCTGGTGCTCTCATGCATGCTTCAGTGTTGCTTGCCTTGAAGCGAGCATAAAAGGCATTTAGCTCATCTGGTAGGCTCGCGTCACTGGGAGGTTCACGGCTGGGTTTCCCTTTGTAGTCTGTAATAGTTTGCAACAATAAACTTTTGATTGACAAATCGTGTATCAGCCATTTGGTGACATAGGTTCTAAATATAGACTAGGAAATAGAACAAAGGCCATGGTAAACACCATAAATATTCACAAACAAGACTTAGTGTCCAGCTATATCCAGATGGTAAAGATTGGACTAGTATACAGTACATTATGGATAAGGGGATGAATGGACAAATATTGCCATGTGTGTTAAGTGTGTTTCAAAGTGTTACTGCAATAGGCTTTCTATTGTAGACTGATTGAATCGAGAGAACAAGAGAGAGAGAGAGAGAGAGAGAGAGAGAGAGGGAGAGAGAGAGAAAGGGAGAGAGAGTGAGAACTGCTGTTCCTTCTCCCTCTGTGCTATAATATACTTTTTCCAGAAGCATTTGTGTCCATCATAGGTAGACGTATCCGGTTCTACCCCATCGCCTCGCCCATCTAGACACAAGGTGACTCTGTGACAGACACAGCTCATCAGACAGCTCATGAGGCCACAGGCTTCTAAATGCAGCCTCAGGTTTCCCTCATAAAGTCCCCATCAGCAGGTTATTGTTTCACCCAATGCATCTGACAGAGTAGAGGCAGACATAGAGACACTGCACACATAATAAACAATGTGGCTGTTTTTCTATGGAAAATAAGCTACTAAAGAGAAACTAAAGCCTTGACCTGGAAACAACCACTAGCTCCTACCGCCCAGCCACTTTATGAAGGTCTAAAATAAAAAGTATTAAATGTCTGTGTCTAGTAACTTGAATGTTATATGATGACATTCAGAATTATATTTACTGGCACTAATCAACTGTTGATGCTGATGTGGTTGGATTTAGCTATTTGCATCCTATAAATGGTTAAGCCATTGCCTAATAGATTCTTGTGGTGACATGTCAAAAGTATCAAAGCTTAATTCCAGTGTGTAGAATTTGTCACAGTCACTATTTTGCTGTGCTTGCATTAAAATCACATCTATATTAATGTTATGTAAACACTATTTACAATGATCAATTGAAGGCATGAAATCTTAAGCAGCTTATGAGGGCATAAAGGTCAACCAAACTGGCAGGCTTATGATAAATTCATGAGCTTCATCTGAAACATTAACCAAATGTAAATGCAGGGATCTTAACAATATTAATTAGTTTCTCATGTGATGCTGCACCTGAATAGTAGGGTTGATTTATTCTAGGTTTGATCGTCCTGAGCTCAGACTTAGATATAGACAATTTTAAATAGTAGATCATGAAAGGCACAGTAATAAAAACAGAGACAATTGAAAAGTCTAAACAAATTCTATAATGAAAATGGTAAAGAATAATGTCATGTCATTGTCAAGAACCAAAAAGAGTATAGGAAAGTTATACACAGAAGTAAAATGAGTACTGATACAACAAAAGTTATGCTCACCAGTCCAGGGATAGGAACATGGAAGGCTGTGTCAGTCTGTAGGACATCAAGATCTATCTTCGTCAAGACGAGTGTCTGCCCATACGATGACGCTGGACCCCGTCGGCATATTCATCGGCACCGCGCGGTGAAACAGATGAACGGTGGTGATTCTACCACCAAGCACGCTCAGTAGACTAGACTACAACCGACTTTATATCGCAAAGTGGATGGAAGATATATGTTCAATGTACTTTATATGAGCTATAGCTATTACTGATAGTAATTTAGAGAGTGATTGAGGAAGTGAACCCATGCGGTGAGTGTGCGTAAAATCAACACCTTCTCTCCAGACTGGCTTCAATACGCAGCGGTGTCTTTTCAGCTAGCGGCACATAGAATAAAGCGGACCGTCAGTTCATGTTTCAACAGAGAGCGAAAGTGACCTGCACATTGGTCCTCGTTGTCTTCTATCCATTTTTAAAATGTTATGATGTGAACTTATATGAGGTGCAGGGGTATGATTGTGAGCCCCATTCCCTTTCCATCGACTCTTGGACAACTGTAAAAGGGAATGCTATTGAGGTAGTCTGTGGCAGGATCTTATACAATAGGTAAGATCGATGGACTCAATTGATTACCTTGAATTGCTTTGAATTGCATTGCATACTGTCATGTATTTTCACTTTGTATGTCAGTGATTGTTCATCTAAGTTTCCCTATAATTCATGATTTGTAAATTAAATATCTTGAGATGCTACATGTTTATATTTCACCAGCTACTGATTTGACTGATGAATTCTGATGAAACATTAAGTGTAAATGCCATTAGATATAAATAACTAATGTAAAATGTATATAGACAGACTGCTATTGATGAATATGTGGAATAGGAATGTGACATTTCAGAATTGGCCATTCTATTAGACATAGTTTTATTCTAAAATGGACTAAGCACTGTAAAATATTGTTAGAAGTGATATATCATTTCAGATAGTTGTTGTCACCTCTCAAAAATGTATTATATCATATTAATCAGAGAGAGAGAGAACAGCTCATGAGTCCTCCTCATACACTCACCAAACTGGGCTCTCTAACCACAGACTCACACAAACATAAGTGCATGTCACTGTCTGTCTGATTAATTTTTAGTGGAGATGAAATGTGCTTTTTGTTGTGTAATGTACTGTGAAATGGAATTTCCTCTTATCTGAAAAGCAGCCGAGATGCATCCTCAAAGGCATATGAGAATCACTTTGTAATTCCATTGAAATGGCCTCTGGAGACACTTATATAAAGGGAATGCAAATCTTAATTGATACTTTGCTTTGATGTGTAGAGGAGAAGGCACTTGTGTACTGTGGGAATCTTCCCAAATGGACATGATTTTTCATAGAGTTAAAGGTCCAGGCTAAAATAACCTTTATTGCTCCAGCCCTTAAATAAGCTTCTTACTGTACATATTATGTGATATTGCTCCTGAGTGAATCCCCAAAAACATATTCCTAGAATGAAGGATAAACTAATACTCAGAATTCTGTCCCACCAAGCCTTCTTCTTCCACACAGAAACCTCTACATGACGACTAATCTGACATAGCCACCTTAATGCCATCATTCCACAGTAGACCTATAGGATGCATTGACTATGCTATAGGATGCAGGACATAGGCAACTCACTGGGTTTTTCCATTGCATGTAATGCGAGATAGAAAATATCCCATCACCAGGATTAAGCTGATAGGTTCTCCTTTCATCAGAACCTCAGTGAGTAGACTTGGGTGGAAAGATTAATTTGCGGTACAAGAAGGTCTTCTCATAAACTTCCCCTGGGACTGACCTGATCTGCCTCCATTGGCTACTAGTTCTATCTATGCTAATTTCCCTGTCTGATAGTGAGAGAGGGAATTGTGGTGAGTTTGGTGGCTCTTCAGAGCATGTGAATCATACTGCTTAAAACAACAAACTAGCTCGCAGGAAGACATGTTACCCTGGCGACACGCTCCCCTGATGGTGTTACTGTCGTTATTGAAATAGCCTCTTGAGAATACACTTAATACGTAGCATGAAAATACCTTTGCTATTTGCTTTTGGTGCTTTGTTTTGCTTGACTTCATAGAGCTAAAGTGACTACAGTCGACATCACTGGAGCTTATTCACGACCTAGGAGAGGCTTTCCCCCACTTCTAGAGCAAGGTACTGCAATGATGCAGCGATGACTAGTTCAGAGAGGGTAGCTTAGCTCTCTGATCAGTATGCATTGCAAAATCCTCAAACATCTGTCTTCATCTTACTTGGTTGGAGGGAGCTTGGAAAATGATGCATTACATTTTACCACCGTTTTTATATGAATTTAGGGGCATGAAATGTGCAACAGTAACAGATGGTGATTTGGTGGTTCAGGTGTGGGTGAATGCCATTAGTTTAATACCGTGTGAAGAATATTCCCAGCTCTTAAACCCTGTCTCCAGTCTACAAGCTGCATCCGCCTCTTCTGATCATCACCCCATGCAGACACAAATAGCAGATTCTATTGTCAATGCATCAGTAAGAGTTTCATACAATTGAATGTCATCACATATCATACCTCATCCCACTTTCCGTAACTCTACCTGTCTTGTCCCTTCCAGCTCGCAGCCGGTTATCAGCGCTTGCGGTCTATCCACTCTGATCTCCCCGAAGTCCCTCTCTGTCTCCCACCATGGAGAGTCTGAGTGAGTTGCAGAACCCACTTCTAAATAAGACCAGCAGCAGACACGTGGTCCACAACGACTACCAGGCTTACCAGAGTGACTACCCCAACCACCAGTACCAGAAGAACATCATTGGCTACTTTGTCACAGGCAGCAACGGCAAGACTCAGGCCCAGCAGTTCTTGGATGCTACCTCTCTGCACCTGGCAGTGGAGGCCTTCTATAGGCCCAACTTTATCCTGTATAAGGACAATGTCAACCTCCAGAGCAAGGACTCTAAGAGTGAGAGCTCCGAGACCACCTTCACAGAGAACAAGGACAGTGTGGTGGGAGTGGAGGGAGCCCCCATAGAGGACCCTCAGGACAAACTACTGGGAGAGAAGGATGTAACAATCCAGACTGTGTCCTATGAGGTGGAGGAGGAAGGACACGAGTATGAGGTGAGAGGTCACACAGAGGGCAGCTATGAATGACCAACTACAACTTTGGATATGTTGATGCTCATACAGGCTAAATAATGAGCATTGTTAAAATCAAAAGGCTATTTTTCATTCGTAGAGAGCAGTTGGACATAAATTAATTGGACGATTAAAATAACAAGGTTACATGTACAGTGGCTTGCAAAAGTATTCACCCCCCTTGGCATTTTTCTTATTTTGTTGCCTTACAACCTGGAATTTAAATGGACTTTTGGGGGGGTTGTACAATTTATTTACACAACATGCCTACCACTTTGAAGATGCAAAATATATTTTTTTGTGAAACAAACAAGAAATAAGACAAAAAACTGAAAAAAACTGAAAACCTGAGCGTGCATAACTATTCAACCCCCCAAAGTCAATACTTTGTAGAGTCACCTTTTACAGCAATTACAGCTGCAGGTCTCTAGGGATATGTCTCTATAAGCTTGGCACATGTAGCCACTGGGATTTTTGTCCATTCTTCAAGGCAAAACTGCTCCAGCTCCTTCAAGTTGGATGGGTTCCGCTGGTGTACAGCAATCTTTAAGTCATATCACAGATTCTCAATTGGATTGAGGTCTGGGCTTTGACTAGGCCATTCCAAGACATTTAAATGTTTCCCCTTAAACCACTCGAGTGTTGCTTTAGCAGTATGCTTAGGGTCATTGTCCTGCTGGAAGGTGAACCTCCGTCCCAGTCTCAAATCTCTGGAAGACTGAAACAGGTTTCCCTCAAGAATTTCCCTGTATTTAGCGCCATCCATCGTTCCTTCAATTCTGACCAGTTTCCCAGTCCCTGCCAATGAAAAACATCCCCACAGCATGATGCTGCCACCACCATGCTTCACTGTGGGGATGGTGTTCTCGGGGTGATGAGAGGTGTTGGGTTTGCGCCAGACATAGCGTTTTCCTTGATGGCCAAAAAGCTCAATTTTAGTCTCATCTGACCAGAGTACCTTCTTCCATATGTTTGGGGAGTCTCCCACATGCCTTTTGGCGAACACCAAACGGTGGGCGGCCCTCTCTTGGCAGGTTTTTTGTAGTGCCATATTCTTTCAATTTTTTAATAATGGATTTAATGGTGCTTCGTGGGATGTTCAAAGTTTCTGATATTTTTTATAACCCAACCCTGATCTATACTTCTCCACAACTTTGTCCCTTACCTGTTTGGAGAGCTCCTTGGTCTTCATGGTGCCGCTTGCTTGGTGGAGCCCCTTGCTTATAGGTGTTGCAGACTCTGGGTTCTTTCAGAACAGGTGAATATATACTGAGATCATGTGACAGATCATGTGACACTTAGATTGCACACAGGTGTACTTTATTTAACTAATTATGTGACTTCTTAAGGTAATTGGTTGCACCAGATCTTATTTAGGGGCTTCATAGCAAAGGGGGTGAATACATATGCACGCACCACTTTTCCGTGATTTATTTTTTAGAATTTTTTGAAACAAGTTATTTTTTTAATTTCACTTCATCAATTTGGACTATTTTGTGTATGTCCATTACATGAAATCCAAATAAAAATCCATTGAAATTACAGGTTGTAATGCAACAAAATAGGAAAAACGTCAAGGGGGATGAATACTTTTGCAAGGCACTGTACCTCAAATTGTGTGGATTTTAATAGTGAGTTGCAGAAATCAATCACAGAATAATGTGTCACGGCACTCAATGCTGTTCATGTTAACTATTTAATATACAACAAAGCTCCTTACCTCATTCTAATAGGCTGCTAAGGCTGCCAGCATGATTCACCTATTTATTCAATTTAACTGTCTGTTCACTGAATGGCCAATTTGGTGTATTTTATAGCAATCTTACAAATCAAATATTTTTACATTTTAGTCATTTAGCAGACGCTCTTATCCAGAGCGACTTACAGTTAGTGAGCGCATACATTTTTCATACTGGCCCCCCGTGGGAAACAAACCCACAACCCTGGCGTTGCAAGCGCCTTGCTCTACCAACTGAGCTACAGGGAACTACAGGGGTAATTGTACAGTTTTTCTGTTCCATAATTGTTGGCAAATCTCCCTGATCATCTTTGATCATATCACTCCAGTCCTTTTGTTATGTTAGGACAAAACTGTGACTAAGCACTCCAAACTAAAATGGTGACAGTGGGAGAGCAACTTCTTTTGAAAAGTGGCACAATCTCATTTTATGCAGTGAGGGTTGTAAAATACCCAATGTCGTTAGTTGGCAGCGGGGGAGTGCATAGATCCCTAACTGAGCTTACAATCAGTCCAGCTCCTGTCACTAGGAGCTCCGCAGATGGATAGATGCACAGCAGAGACGGCCATTAATGCCATAACTAATGCAGTGCTTTGAAAGTATTAGAGACTGGGCTGATGCATGGCCCGACACATAACAGCCAGCAGATAAATTATTCCAAGTAGATTCAAATAACAAATTAATCTGATTAACACCCAGGAGATTAAAGTTGGGCTTTCAGTTGAAACTTGAGAGCTGGTTCTCTTGGTTAACCCTCTGTCTGGCATGTGCGTGTGTGTGTGTGTGGTGTGTGTGTGTGTGTGTGTGTGTGTGTGTGTGTGTGTGTGTGTGTGTGTGTGTGTGTGTCAAAGCTCTGTAGAAGGCTTTTAAAGTCAACATGTTCTCAACACACTACAGTGGCTTGCGAAAGTATTCACCCCCCTTGGCATTTTTCCTATTTTGTTGCCTTACAACCTGGAATTTAAATTGATTTTTGGGGGGTTTGTATCATTTGATTTACACAACATGCCTACCACTTTGAAGATGCAAAATATTTTTGGGGGTGAAACAAACAAGAAATAAGACATAAAAACAGAAAACTTGAGCATGCATAACTATTCACCCCGCCAAAGTCAATACTTTGTAGAGCCACCTTTTGCAGCAATTACAGCTGCAAGTCTCTTGGGGTATGTCTCTATAAACTTAGCACATCTAGCCACTGGGATTTTTGCCCATTCTTCAAGGCAAAACTGCTCCAGCTCCTTCAAGTTGGATGGGTTCCGCTGGTGTACAGCAATCTTTAAGTCATAGCACAGATTCTCAATTGGATTTAGGGCTTTGACTAGGCCATTCCAAGACATTTAAATGTTTCCCCTTAAACCACTTGAGTGTTGCTTTAGCAGTATGCTTAGGGTCATTGTCCTGCTGGAAGGTGAACCTCCGTCCCAGTCTTAAATCTCTGGAAGACTGAAACAGGTTTCCCTCAAGAATTTCCCTGTATTTAGCGCTATCCATCATTCCTTCAACTCTGACCAGTTTCCCAGTCCCTGCCGATGAAAAACATCCCCACAGCATGATGCTGCCACCACCATGCTTCACTGTGGGGATGGTGTTCTCGGGGTGATGAGAGGTGTAGGGTTTGCGCCAGACATAGCGTTTTCCTTAATGGCCAAAAAGCTCAATTTGAGTCTCATCTGACCAGAGTACCTTCTTCCATATGTTTGGGGAGTCTCCCACATGCCTTTTGGCGAACACCAAATGTGTTTGCTTATTTTTTTCTTTAAGCAATGGCTTTTTTCTGGCCACTCTTCCGTAAAGCCCAGCTCTGTGGAGTGTACGGCTTAAAGTGATCCTGAAACATCAGAAAAGCAGAACTTTATTGCTTGTTTGTTTGTGGTCCTCTGTAGCTCAGCTGGTAGAGCACGGCGCTTGTAACGCCAAGGTAGTGGGTTCGATCCCCGGGACCACCCATACGTAAAAATGTATGCACGCATGACTGTAAGTCGCTTTGGATAAAAGCGTCTGCTAAATGGCATATTATTATTATTATTATTTGTTGCCTCTCTGATTAATGCCCTCCTTGCCTGGTCCGTGAGTTTTGGTGGGCGGCCCTCTCTTGGCAGGTTTGTTGTGGTGCCATATTCTTTAAAAATTTTTATAATGGATTTAATGGTGCTCCGTAGGATGTTCAAAGTTTCGGATATTTTTTTATAACCCAACCCTGATCTGTATTTCTCCACAACTTTGTCCCTGACCTGTTTGGCGAGCTCCTTGGTCTTCATGGTGCCGCTTGCTTGGTGGTGCCCCTTGCTTATAGGTGTTGTAGACTCTGGGGCCTTTCAGAACAGGTGTATATATACTGAGATCATGTGACAGATCATGTGACACTTAGATTGCACACAGGTGGACTTTATTTAACTAATTATGTGACTTCTGAAGGTAATTGGTTGCAGCAGATCTTATTTAGGGGCTTCATAGCAAAGGGGTGAAAACATATGCACGCACCACTTTTCCGTTATTTATTTGTTTCATTTCACTGCACCAATTTGGACTATTTTGTGTATGTCCATTACATGACATCCAAATAAAAATCAATTTACATTACAGGTTGTAATGCAACAAAATAGGAAAGACGCCGAGGGGATGAATACTTTTGCAAGGCACTGTAAGACAAGAGGGAAAGAGCTGGACGATAATTCTTACATGTCAAAGCCAGTATCTGTTGTTAGTTCTTCTATACATGTTGTTGTGTTTATCATAAGTTATGGAATCTCTCTTGGACAGATCTACAAGATAACGAGCAGCTGTAGTTCAGGTGTTTGGGTTATTTGGACAAATCATGATTTGTAACGTAAAGAGAGAGGGTGGAGCTCCTCATTCCAGTTCCACTCCTTGCTCTAGCATCTCTTCATCTCTTCTCTTAACACGTATGGACCCGGAACTTAATCGCTCAGCTGACCAATTACGTGAGACATTAGTTCTGGGATAACCAAGATGAAAGATTATGCTGAAAACCCTGTATCTCTATACTGACGACATGGTTCACAGTAGGCATACAGGGATATGATGACATTAACGGTTCCACACAATAACACATGACTGGACCATGTCCTCAATGACACCATTCTAAATTATTTTCTCAGTAATTATTTTTGTTTTGGTGAGCTCTGTGGCAAAGCACCCCCACAACATAACACCTCTTCCTCCATGCTTTACGGTGGGAAATACACATGCGGAGATAATCCGTTCACCCACACCGCGTCTCACAAAGACACGCGGTTGGAACCAAAAATCTCCAATTTGGACTCCAGACCAAAGGACACATTTCCACCGGTCTAATGTCCATTGCTCGTGTTTCTTGGCCCAAGCAGGTCTCTTCTTCTTATTGATGTCCTTTAGTTGTGGTTTCTTTGCAGCAATTCGACCATGAAGGCCTGATTCACACAGTCCCCTCTGAACAGTTGATGTTGAGATGTGTCTGATACTGGAACTCTGTGAAGCATTTATTTGGGCTGCAATTTCTGAGGCTGGTAACTTTAATGAACTTATCCTTTGCAACAGAGGTAACTCTGGGTCTTCCATTCCTGTGGTGGTCCTCATGAGAGCCAGTTTCATCATAGCGCTTGATGGTTTTTGCGACTGCACTTGAAGAAACTTTCAAAGTTCTTGAAATGTTCCATATTGACTGACCTTCATGTCTTAAAGTAATGATGGACTGTCGTTTCTCTTTGCTTATTTGAGCTGTTCTTGCCATAATATGGACTTGGTCTTTTACCAAATAGGGCTATCTTCTGTATACCCCCCCCCCCCCCACACACACACACACACCTTGTCACAACACAACTGATTGGCTCAAACACATTAAATTCCACAAATTAACTTTTAAGAAGGCACACCTGTTAATTGAAATGCATTCCAGGTGACTACCTCATGAAGCTGGATGAGACAATGCCAAGAGTGTGCAAAGCTGTCATAAAGACAATGGGTGGCTATTTGAAGAATCTCAAATATAACATATATTTTGATTTGTTTAACACTTTTTTGGTTACTACATGATTCCATATGTGTAATTTCATAGTTTTGATGTCTTCACTATTATTCTACAATGTAGAATAATAGTAAAAATAAAGAAAAACCCTGGAATGAGTAGGTGTGTCCAAACTTTTGACTGGTACTGTAGATGGAAAGCAACTTTTCCCAAAACAGTTTATTCCCTCTGCCAGCGTTTCCCACCAGATGTGATGGGGAATCAGGAAATTGTTGGTGTGTAAGGGGTAAAACGAGACTCAGGCCTGAGTGTGGGTGAATATGCCAGTCCCTAGTGACTGGGGCCATGGCTGTCTCTGTGTGCCCTGAGGGTGCGCCCAGTGTCCCCTGCCGTCATTAACGAGCCCTCTGGGAGTGCAGTCTGAGGATAATTAACAGACCAGTGCAGTGGAGGAGTCTCATCAATTACGCTGGCCTCAAAATGCCTGCCGCTACTGGCTGACTGGCTAACTCTCAGATTGGCTTTAGTGTAATGCACCACTGTCTGTCCGTATGCCCATACCCAGTCTAGCAATCTATCCACAGCGACATGGGCATCCATTAGAAATGTGGTTGGACGTAGAGAATCTCACCTGGTGCTTCAGGTGTCCACCAGGAATTAATGCGATTATTTCAGAAGCCCATTGTGGGCCAAAATCTTTTGGTCATGCATGTGGGTCTCCGAATAAACTGTGTGCAAGAATTGACATAGCTTCTGTAGCTATATAACCATATGGATATAATGTATTATGTAATACATTTTAGATCCTCTGTCACTACAAGCACAGCACTTGTGGCATTTAATGCACAATGCAAAGACACTTCAAAATGTTTATCACTCTCTCTATCATGTTTTCCAATGGGTGAGAGGGTGAGATGAGGGTTTTGCCGCTATGTCCACTTTGTCTACATATTATAATTGGCTGGAGAGCTTTGACAGACACTCTCTCTGCCCGCCTCTCCGCCCGCCTCTCCACCTCTCCTCTCGTCCTCTTTAAATTGGCTCATTTATTTTCGGCCCTGAACATCAATTTCCATTTCCTCTCTTCCCTCGGTCGCTCAGGTTTGTTTGATCCCCGCGAGTAACAAGACTAACAAATGAATCCTGTCCTGATGGAGGGCCATTCATTTAATCAAACAGCAGCTCCCTCTCTGGGAGAACAGCAAAGGTGAGGCTTTCTCTTCTTAAAGGTCATCCCAGAGATGTGGCTCCTCGTGTTTGGCTCTCCACTTTTGTCCCTGTGCCAGAGTGCCCACAGCGGCGTCAGAAGTTTCCATTCATTAGTCCCTCAGCTACCCAGGGGCCTTTGAGGAGGATCAAGGCACAGCATTAGTAGAGACCACACAGGCCCTCAGAACATTCACAGCCTCTCAAGCAAACGGGCAAACAGAGGAGGTTGGTGACACCTTAATTGTGGAGGACTGGCTCGTGGTAATGGTTGGAGCAGAATTGGTGGAATGGTATCAAATACATCAAACACATGGTTTCCATGTGTTTGATGCCATTCCATTCGCTCCGTTCCAGCCATTGTTATGAGCCATCCTCCCCTCTGCAGCTTCCTGTGGTGGAGGTGCACGTGAAGGATGGGGGGAGGGGGACTCTCTCGTGCTGTAGAGGCAATTTGGCACATAAATGACACTGTCTTCTTCCTGTTTCCCCTGTCACCTGGTGATGATGAAACAATCCGTTAATCCAGTGTTATCTGTCAGGACGCTTGTGGGTGTTGACAGAAATACAAATCCTCTCTGCCTGGCTGAGCCCATCATGTCCTGCATGTAAGCAGAACAAGGGCAGATATGCCCGGGGGTGTTTGTCATCAACTATCACACTGTTCACAGTATGTCACAGTATGTCTGCAGTGCAGAGTGACTTGCCTGACATGTTCAGGTCCATGGAACAATGTTGCAGAATCTGACCCTATAACCTTGCTTGTGTTAGAAACAGCTTTGAGGTACACATATTGATTTGAAAATGCATAAAAATGTGGAAGTAGATCATCTAGCATGAGTAGCTCATCTACATGTAACTATTGGCGGGAGGATGGTGAGGGCCCTGGCGGAGTGGTGCCAGGAAAATAACCTCTCCGTCAACGTCAACAAAACTAAGGAGCTGATCGTGGACTTCAAGAAACAGCAAAGGGAGCACGCCCCATCCACATCGACGGGACCGCAGTGGAGAAGGTGAAAAGCTTCAAGTTCCTCGGCGTACACATCGCTGACAATCTGAAATGGTCCACCCACACAGACAGTGGGGTGAAGAAGGTGCAACAGCGCCTCTTCAACCTCAGGAGGCTGAAGAAATTAGGCTTGGACCCTAAGACCCTCACAAACTTTTACAGATGCACAATTGAGAGCATCCTGTCGGGCTGTATCACCGTCTGGTACGGCAACTGCACCGCCCGCAACCGCAGGGCTCTCCAGAGGGTGGTGCGGTCTGCCCAATGCATCACCGGAAGCACACTGCCTGCCCTCCAGGACACTACAGCACCCGATGTCACAGGAAGGCCAAAAAGATCATCAAGGACATCAACCACCCGAGCCACAGCCTGTTCACCCCGCTATCATCCAGAAGGCGAGGTCAGTACAGGTGCATCAAAGCTGTAACCAAGAGACTAAAAAACAGCTTCAATCTCAAGGCCATCAGACTGTTAAATATCCATCACTAGCCGGCTACCACCCTGTTACTCAACCCTGCACCTTAGAGGCTGCTGTCCTATGTACATAGACATGGAATCTGGTCACTTTAATAATGGAACACTAGTCACTTTAGTAATGTTTACATACTGCTTTACTCATTTCATATGTATATACTGTATTCTATTCTACTGTATTTTAGTCAATGCCACTCCAACATTGCTTGTCCTAATATTAATAATTTCTTAATTCCATTATTTTACTTTTAGATTTGTGTGTATTGTTGTGAATTGTTAGATACTACTGCACTGTTGGAGCTAGGAACACAAGCATTTTGTTACACCCGCAATAACATCTGCTAAATATGTGTATGTGACCAATACAATTTTGATTTGATTTGGCATCACCATAATGTAGTTGTTCAGGTAACTATCCCAACTGACTGGCTCTTTCCTGTGCCTTTCCTCCCTCCAAGAGCGACAGCTCCAGTGACACTGAGAGTGAGGACAATTTCATCATGCTGCCCCCCAGGGACCACCTGGGCCTGGCCATCTTCTCCATGCTCTGCTGCTTCTGGCCCCTAGGGATCGTTGCCTTCTACTTCTCCCAGAGGGTGAGTCTAGGACCAGTACCCTTTTACACCTACTGCCCTGTTATTAACGCTAATTACCCCCAGCACTCTCTGCAAGGTCAGTAGGCACAAGTGCTAACGCAGCTCATTTTCCACACCCATCGGCACATACCAATTATTACAGACCATTGATTGCGTAAACCGTATAGGTACCCGCCCCTATTTACTCTTGTGATCACAAGCAACAATACTGCAGAGAGCAAGGGAAACTGAGTACAGCTCAAACTAAAGGTTGATTGTGCCACATTTACAGTATATTTTATTTCCATTAATGGTCACATTTAGTCAATCAAATACCTCAACAATAAATGTTATTTTATATTAGCAATACATTGCCAAAGAGAGTATCTTGCAGATACTATCTACATGTTTTTTTCATTAGATAATGAATAGACAGGATAGCTGCTGCCCTGGGACTGTCTCACCATTATTGTGATTATATTGAACCCCAGGTCTATCTATAAATAGCAGCACTTTAGTGAGCAGGTTCTGAATGCAGCAGGTCCCCTCCCTGCCCCCTAATCCAACTACAATTTATCTCAGTGGTTCGCAACTTCTCTCAAACTAATTGCAAAGACAATTACATTGCAAAATGACCCTAATAAATGTGTCAAAGGAACAAATGGGTTATGGGCCGGTCCTTTCTGAGGAATCCAAAAACATCCAAACAGCACATTAGTCACTGTCAAAACGGTAGTGACATAATTGCCATAGCAACTAATGGCTCCCCATGAACAATGTCTTGTTTTCTCGCTCTACATTGAATTTACACCTACTCACATTTTTCTCAGTCATATTTAATCATGACTAATTTCTCTATCTTTTGTCTCTCAGACTAGCAAGGCCATTGCTAAGGGAGACTTCTCCAGGGCAAGCAGTAGCTCCAGAAGAGCCCTGTTCCTCGCTGCCCTCTCCATCACCATCGGGGCAGGGATGTACGTGGGGGTGGTGGTGGCCCTCGTAGCCTACCTGTCCAAGTCTGGAGGACACATATAGCAGCAGAACCAGGGCCACAGGGGAGTGCTTAGGAAGCTGTCCTTGCTATGAAGCATCATGCCCTATACATGTGGCTCTGTCTGGATGTTCGGGTTGTGGAGCAGGAGAGAGGAGGAGAGGAAGGAACAGAGGGAGAGTCAGTGTTTTGAAATGTTTACCCTGACCAAACAATGTAAACCACAGACGTATCCATCTGGATTACACCCTTGTGTCTATTTCCCGGCCACTTCTCTCTAAGTTTATCAGCCTGATAAGGATGTTTGAGGTTCACAAATTAATGAGGGAAAACACCAAAGGAAAGAGGAAAATACTATTTCCCCACAATGACTGTCATGCTCCTAGTAAAATTAAAGTGATGATACTAATTCCAGAGCTAACCTCCTCCACTGATCTTCATCATTATCATGGAGGCCCCCATCCATAATTTTTGCTGTTCTGTGTAAATACGTATTGTGCCAATTGTGTTTTTGGTCTTATTGATTTCCATGCCACAGTGAGTCATAACGAGCCAGTCATTGTGTCTGAAATGCTACATCAAGAAGGCTTACTTTACTGATTATTCATCAAACTGGTCGCAAGTCCAGGTTCCGGAATATTAATCTGCCATCATCAGTCAATAGACTCTAAACACGGAAAGAGGAAAATGTGTTTATTGTGCACTGTATCTCCTGTCAGAATAAATACATTTGGCATGAATAATGATTTACCTGTTGCCTGTCTTTCTCGCTTATTCATTGTCTCATTGAGGAGTGTGGAGGGAGGCATTGCTGACCGTGTAATAGATGGATGTCAGAATGCATTGTTGGCCACTGTGAGTTATATTGACAATTTGCTTGCCTCCCGGCTTCTCCCCTCACTGGCACGGCTTCTCTGTTCTCTGCGTTTGGCATCACTCATGGTCTAGCCTTGAGGTGACTTTAACTGCCAGCAAGCTGAAAGCTCAGGAACAAAGCATACATTCTGGAGTCAGGATGGCAGAACGAAACGAGTGCAGTCTTTTATTCACCTGGAGACTGGAGCGCCATCAAGCCCATCTCTCTCTCTCGCTCTCTCTCTCTCTCCCTCCCCCTCCCCCTTCTTTGTCTGGCATCTCATCAGCACCACCAAAGCCAGCAGAATGACCCAAATACACAGGAAGACGTTCTTAACTCTAACACCAATGTCCTTGAGTTCCCTCTGTGTGTTTGAATAACAACATTAACCATTGGATATTATATAATCTTTGAACTCAGTGATGCACAGTGATGAATAGAAATGACTTGTGCATACAGTATACCTACCTACCTGTCAATGCCACATCCACATGAATTCCTGTTAAAGCAGTCACAGCAAGAAGCTAACGTTAACAGAGAACATAATGTTTACTGTCATACTCTGATATGATGGCGACCATTGACTACTATTATGGGAAAGTGGCATTAGGGCCCTTTTATTCAAGGATGGAAGTAGATACAGATCTGGTATATGGTTAGGAGAGGGAAGGGTGACGGTATTACAGTGTGACCTCATCTGTTCCCTTTTCAGCTCCACTCCCTTTTCAGTATCTCAGGCCTCTAATGGATGGAATGGTCCAGCGGGGAGGATGCGGGCGAAAGAGCTCCTCTCATCAATGAAAGCTGTATGGGGTGGTGAAGTGCGTGAGAGTGAGTGAGTGCAGCATGTGTTCCCTGTGTCTGTTCAATAGGGAGGAACCTTCACCCACGCTCTCAGCACCTGCAGCTGAGCTCAGACCACCAGAAGCAAACTGGATTCATATTAGTCATCCACCCCCCTGGGAATAAAACTTTGTAAATTACTGCAGGATGTGTTTGAACTGTGGTAAAAAAAATAATGTATTTTGTCAATTATTTTGTTTTGAGGAGAATAAATATGTAGAATATAACTTATATTTATTTGAAAATCATCGATTTGTCTTTATTGTTATTCACTTTGTTTTGCAGATTTTGTCTAAAACACATGTCCAGCCTAGACATTGTAAAGTTGTTTGATTCAGACAGAATCCTATCACTGCTGCTTGACTGTTTGTTTGCATGATAATGAGTGTGTTACATCCAAAGACCTTTCATTTCCCTCTAGAAAATGACAGGGAGGAAATTGAATGGGGCATATCCACATATGACTGAGGGAAGAAAAACAGAGTGATAAATGGAAGGGAACAACATGGATAAGTAACTGTATAGGAGAGGAATGACAAAAAGTCATTAGAGAGCCACTATGTACATTAATAATTGACCGTTCATACATCCATGACCCATTTTCACTGTGCTATCATTACTGTGATTGAATGCCTGTCAAAATTGCCTGCATGCGAACAACAATGGCCTGCAAATGACATCCTCTGTTGCTAGCATGTACCTGATATCAAGATGAGGCAATTTATCTTACTCCCATATTAGTTAGCTGTGTTCATGAATTTCACTATGTATTTACATGATTGACAATTTATTATTCTTCACAGTGCTAAATGCCTTTCAATATCACCTGCAGTGAAGCTAACTGGTTTTGAGTCGAAGAAGAACAGTCTGTTGGCATTTTTTCATCTAAATTATATAATTGCCGTGTATAGCTCTGAATTCTGCAGTCTTGACCTTCGCAATGTTGGGTGAGAGAGTCAATGTTCTCCGGTCTGTTTAATCAGCTATTACAGAAGCATAGTTCATTCTGTGGAATTCTGTCTTCAGACACAATTTCTTACTGCCTGAGCCGTATACATTACCATAGTTTCAGCAACATTGGGAAAACCTAATGAGCTTCATCATTAACAAACCGTAGCAGCTAACTCTTCATCTCTGTGGCAACAGCATAACAACAGATATCTTGAGAAAACATCCTCCTACAGAATAGACTACGTAAAAAAATTGGGTAAATTGTGAAATACTGTGTCTTATTAGTGTGATAACTGCAAACTGAACAACAAGCTATACTGTGAAACATCTCAAATTGGAGTTTCAATGTTAATTGAGTAGATTACAGACACTGTAATGCTGTTTGATGTTTATCCAGAGATTATTATTTTATGCTAGTGTGTCATTTAATGTATATTAAATTATTACATTAATGTTACACAGTGATACATTCAAGGTCCATTGTAAGGACAGATCTTGCACTATGTCCTTTGCGTTCCAAAACGGTATATCCACACATTTTTCACATTTGTGTTTTTTCATCAGAAATGATTGCTTATGGGTACCTTCGTGTGTATAAAATGTAGCTGTTCTCAGATTTTTTGACGTGTATTAAAATGGATTTTGTTGCAAAGCACAGTCCCTGTTGGTGTTAGATAGAAAGTCGTGGCTCCACCCACCTGTGGGGAAAAAAACCTGTGGTTACCTAGGTTACCCCATTGGCTCACAGCAAAACTTGACTGTTTTAAAACGCAATTTTCTTGTTGTCTGCTTGTTTTAGTCAATTACAAAACTACATTTAAGAAAAGTACAACATGTCTAAAGATTACTTTTCAACATTGCCTTCTCCCTAGCATTCTCACTACTTAGAAACACATAATATTGTAGGGCTTCCCTCATGCCCCTTTTCATAATGGTGCTAGCAGCCACATGAGTGAGTGCTAGCTAACAACCGGAAAATTAAGCTAGCCAAGACCAACAACACAAACAAACGGACTATACAGCTACAGGTAGTGAGTGGACTTACAAACAAACAAGTTAAATGTCTTACCTGTAATGAAATGTTTTCCACACACAAAGCTACGTGTAGCCTACTTGGACACCAGGTCCCCACATTTTCCACTCTCCCACGCCGAATAGCCTGAAGCCACAGGGCTCTTCTCATAGGCTCTATTTCCCTAAGTGGGAGCATTGCGAACTGTAGGTTGGGATTTTTGGCCTGGTTAGATGTGCATTGAACAACACAGCAGCTTTTCTGCATTTCTGTATAACTCAAAATTGACGACGAAGTTGGCTCTTTTACAATGGGGTCAATGGGAAAGAATGTTTGTTTTCCCCAATTTGTGAGCGTGGTCGAAGGGAATTCCTTATTATTACTTGAATATCGACTCAGTGTATACACAGAGTATACCAAACATTAGGAACACCTTCCTAGTATTGACTTGCAACCCACACACACCTTTTGCCCTCAGAACAGCATCGATTTGTCGGGCATGGACTACAAGGTGCCGAAAGTATTCCGAAGGGATACTGGCCCATGTTGGCTCCAATGCTTCCCACAGTTCTGTCAAGTTGGCTGGATGTCCTTTGGGTGGTGGGCCATTCTTAATACACACGGGAAACTGTTGAGCGTGAAAAACCCAGTAGCGTTGCAGTTCTTGACACAAATCGGTGCACCTGGCACCTACTACCATACCCTGTTCAAAGGCACTTACATCTTCTGTCTTGCCCATTCACCCTCTGAATGGCACACAAACACAATCCATGTCTCAATTGTCTCAATGCTTAAAAATCCTTCTTTAACCTGTCTCCTCCCCTTCATCTACACGGATTGAAGTGGATTTAACAAGTGACATCAATAAGGGATCAAAGCTTTCACCTGGATTCACCTGGTCAGTCTATGTCATGGAAAGAGCAGGTGTCCTTAATGTTTTGTACACTCAGTGAATATCCACTGTTTAGCTGGAATGGAATGTTCGTATCCTGTATATTTCAATGTGATATGTGGTTGTCTCACCTAAATGTTAAAATGTTACATAAAGATCTCATATTGCTGTATTGATACATAAAAATAAAAAAATGAATCATTTGTACCATTCTTTATTAAAAATGTAGTTATTTGTCACATTTGACTGTAAAAAAAACCTAGCAGTACTACTTATTTCTCTGAGAGTGAGGTGGATATATAGCGTTCTGCAACAAAACTTGATTATTTGTCTCTCAGAAATGAAACCATCAAGTGATAGATTTTAAACAAATACATGTCTGTCATTGAACAACCCCATGGCATGATTAGATGGTGAAAAAACACACCAATCTATTTCATAAGTTCTTTAAACTGTAAAAGCTAATTGACCACAATTTCTGAAAATGTATATTTAGCGTTTTGGAATGAAACTGTTCAGTTATATGATGTTTTCTTCCCACATTCAACATTATTATTGTAATGTTTTTATAATATTCTTTCCACAGATAAACTGGGCTGAGCAGACCAAAGACAATGTTAAAGTT